AGGTGAGCTACTTTTGTTGTTACTGGGGCTTTTTGTTTACTTATGCTTATAAGTGAATGAATTTGTGCTTAGCATACATAATCTGTTATTCGCACCAGGACCCACACGCAGTGAAACACACTGTTTAGTTCGTCCGAACGCCCCTTCTCTTCTTCATTTTTCTAGTTTCATTCTCGTCCAGCCCCCTTTTTAACGGTTCTTCGAGTCCTTTTTCACTTTGGAAACACCGATGCACGCAGTTACTTCACCTCAGTCGCGCTAGTATCGACATTGTCTTCCATTTTTCATCATAATCTGGATTACCCAAAATTATCGTGAACTGTGCCTTTCACTGACACGGAGGGGTGTAAGGTTTGGTTGGTCCAGACAAATACGGATCTTGGATTCAAACCCGTGGCCATGCGAATGTGATAGCGAGCCCCATGCCACTATACTACCTCCATCCATGCTGATGTCAATATCTGCTAAAGGACGATTGTGCGTAAAACGATAGAGCAACGAAAGATCTCTGGACAATCAAATAATTCCATAAAGGGGAAGCGTAGGACGCTAATCTTCTCCATACTTGGACGTTCTTTCACTCGAAACTCATTAGTTCTGCCTAGTAGACACTGATTGATAACTCATAATTAGCAAACTGAGATTTTGAAAATCTCGCCTTCTCGTCGTAGTGTAACAATCCTCTGCCTGCCAAAATTGCTGATGTGAGGCCAGCCCAGATCTTGGTGGTCGAATAAGCTATTGCCAGTGTGTCATAACTCCAATGCTGATTCGTTTTCCTGGAACGTACTCTTATTTGGAACAGTAAGTGCAGAAAGAGCTATAAGGAATTTAGTAAGTTACTGGAAAAGTCTGTAGGCTACACAGTGCTTTCCCACCAAGGTTTGACTATGCCCTGAGCAAGCACAGCTCCCCGGGTCCGGAATCTTCTCCCCGAAAACGGCGTCGCACACACCGCACCCGCCGCGTATCGCAGGATTGCAATGGAAGATTGGAGCGCGCAATTTGTGAGGTAGGGAGTCCTTTAATTATTTGAATTGGCTGGCTTCTCTTTTCAATTCCAATGCGGTCTTGATCGACGCCAACATAGGAGGAGTCATTCTAATTAATCAAGTCTAATAAACATAAAAACGAAAAAGTAACAGGCAAAAGAAACGATCAAATCTAATAGAAAAGAAAAACAATCAACGAAAAATATTGCGTCATATCAATTGGCGACGAGGTGGGGTGAGTACGGTAATTGCAGTAACATTCGCCGCATGCCGCAAGGGAGATTGCCGCAATCGGGGTGAAGTTCCGTTACCTGCACACCCCTCTCTCCTCCCTGAACGCGAAGGAGAAAAGTATCATAGATACATACCTGTTGGCATATCCTCCGAACAAATGCACAAGAGCTTCTCCTCGATGGAGGACTGCCAAGGAGGCACCTTCGTTGTCCTGCTGTATCATCGCGCTCAAAAGCACTGTTTAGTATAGCTTCTACAGCCATTAAAATCACTTACCTGAACTTTTCGCGAACCTTCTCGAAGCCCGGATGAACTTCCCCATGCAATTTTATGGTACGTTTTGGCGAAAAAATGCGCCATAGCACCACCAGTACGGCTAATGAGAGAAGTAGTTCCCAGATCATGCTTGAAATAAATTCGCTCCTGGGAGAGAACAAGAAAAAATACGTTTGGAGAGTCACAAGGTATAACTGTGGATACGGTGATTTTCAGTACTAGAAGCGATCAAGGCTGAAATTTTTCTAATTTGTGATTCAAAGACAGTGACTGAGCCCGAAAAGAAGTCATTCTGTCCCAAGAAAGGAATTGCGGAAAGACCATTCGAGTGCCTACTGGAGCAGGGAACTTGAAAAGGGTTTTCTCTGAAGCAGCTATGAATATGCTATAGAAATGAAGTCTCAGTAAAAAGTTATTCGGAGCCTTTTTTCTATACCATCGAAATTGAGAGGGAATCGTATAGAAACCATTTGATCTCCTTTGTTTGACATACGTATTACAGTTGAAATGATTACAGTTAGTTTCTAACCATTTCCGTTCCTAACATGCTTGCTTGTGATTCATACGGTAGAAAATATGACAGTGATTATATTGCAGTTCAGTGAATACTGTGGAACACCCTCCACCCCCCCCCCCCCCCCCCCCCCCNCCCTCATTTTCACACATACAAAAAAGTTGTGTCCGCTTTTCTTGCTTTTCTCTGGAATGGCCCGGTTTGGCTTCCAGCCTTTCACGCAATCGCTGGTGACACGAGGAGGTAGGTGTACGAAAGAGTGTCTAAGTCGGCTCAAGGGACACAGGTACTTCACCCTGAGTGGCTTTGGTGCATCTCAGCTGGATTTGGAACTTCCCTCGCTCTGACAGGATATCCAGTCCGACTTTCTCAATGTTAACTCTTTGACTTATTCAATACCCACTGAAGAGTACTCAGTGATTCAGAATAGTTTTGTTGCTTGCTGAATGCTTTCGGGACAACAGTTTCCCACGGGCGACAACGTTTTTGCTTTTCTTGAGATTACATATAGGAAATTTTCTCTCCAGCTCTTCACCAAGGGTGTATATGGGCTTTACCAGGCTGACCTGTCAACGGGATAGCATTCTCAGAGGCTCTAAGAAACATAACACTTCCCGACCAAAAGTGCACAGCCCCACTACAGTTCGAGATTCCCAGGGTATCCAAAGGAGGGCCATTCACCGTGGCTTCGATGATTCATTCAAACCTTCCAGCAAACAATGGTAGCAACCAACCAAAAACAGCTGAGACCGGTCTTCAGTCAATATTGCTATAGAAAGGCTGAACCTATATAGGGCCATAGCTCCCACGTGTTAGGCATTTTGCTTCGCTGCATCGACGGCCTCCTTAGGAACGGCTTCGTCACGGTCAAGAATGGGATGAGCCCGATACCGTACACTCTTTAGATCGATTCATACCATCTAATGGCTTTTCAATATTCACGTGTAGGGAGTTGGCCAATTCGCCGACATACTCATTCCCACATCACTGCAGGTGGTCACTCATCCCCATATCCACTGCAGACCATCCCACACATGACACAGTCACCGTATCTGTCAGGTAGAGGAAGTGCACAGTTTTAGGTGGCATATGAGTGGTCGTAGAGCTTTTTTTTACGAAGCGGATGCTGCTTACGATTGTTCGACAATACTTTTACAATGATATAATAACTGGGTTTCCCAAGCCTGACCTCTTAGACGATTTTTGATGGTGACGCTCACTTCAACAGAGATATATGGTAGCACGAAGAGAATCATTTCGTCAATCGAATATGACCATATCTGCTGATCGCGCCGGGAGGGGGAACTCTGTAGGCGTTCGAAACACTGTAGTGGCTTTTACTTAAGCTATACCTTTTCACTGATTCTCTCCAGTGAAGGTCGTTATAGCAGTGCGGAACATTTTTCTAACAACGGCTTGTTCTTTATGAGAAGGTTGAGTAATGAGAAGCACAATAGTGTAATTGCTCTTGTTTCTGTGCCACTTCGTAGCAGTG